GTCCCGGCCCCGCTGCCCCGGAACGGCCCCGGCCGCTCGGAAGTGACGGCCCCGCCGCGCCTGCGCCATGGACCCGGGGCGGCCTCGGCAGCGGCCCCGAGCGGTTCCGCCTCGGGCCCAAAATTTGGGGCTCCTCTGTCTCTGGCATCTGCTCCGTGCAGCGGGGGAGCCCCGGGGACACTTCCCGAAGAGACATCGGCCCTTCAGTGCCATCTCATCCTCCGTGACAACGACAGGCCACTGCCTCCAGCCGTGAGCCACGATGGCAGAATTTTTTATATATATACACGTACATACATACATACATACGTATATCTATCTATCTATCTATCTATCTATCTATACATAACATATAATACATAAATATAATACATACGGCAATAATACACACAAACATATAATACATAAACAATGCATATATTTTATAAAACACATTTTATAAATACATTTTACACTTGTAAAATACATGTTATGTGTACAGAATGTTATGTATAAAAATTTTTTCTAGACGTATGTGTGTATATGTATGTATACACATACATTTAAATACACATGGATTATGTGTTATGTGTATATATAGTATATAATATTGCTATATATATGTAATTATATAACATACAGCAAATATACTTACCTACATATAGATGGCATTTATATACAATATATAATCACATATACAAAATTACATTTTATTTTCATATATATATCTACATATATATACACACGCATACATACATATATAAATATATATATCCCATATATTTATTTTTATATATATCTGCATCCCAGGGTCTCTCCCAGCCAGAGCACAGCCTTTGTCCCCCCGTTGTATCCAGGTCGGTACCTGTGAGACCCGAACAGAAGGGAAAGGCAGCTCACAGGAGACCAGGTGGTGATGCCTGACCTGTCTGCATGGAATTTGTAATAAAAACGATGGTCGCTCCCAGGTTTGCTGCATTTAAAACTCACCGGGGAGTGCTGGGGAGGGGGAAATGCCGCGTTTAACCCCGCAGGTGAAGGGACACGGAGGTTGATTGCAAACGCCTCAGCATCCTGCCAGGGACAGTCCCAGGGCGGTGGTTTCTGCTCTTCCCTCTCGCTGTAAGCCGTGCTCTCAGCCAGGAGAGGGAGTCAAGGATAGTTGGACAAAGAGTGGGAATCCCAGGAAGCTACAGTGGGATCAAGGTCCTTCTGCAGCATACAAGATTCAGCTCTGATTCGTTTCTCTGCCAAGGGTTCACCCTTCCAAAGGAGAAAATGTTTCAGTGATGCTGTACCCGGTAAGGAAAATGCCAACATGGAAACAAGTGGAGTGTGTCACAGGATCCTCCTGCAGAGAGCTGATCCAGGGAAGGGGAATTCATTCATTCATTCATTCCAGCCTGTGCTCATGGTCAAACCCTACATGCAACCTGGCTATCTGGTATCTGAAGCTAGGTCCAGTTTGGATCTGAATAAACTGGACCTCTTTGTGATGTTTCTCCATGCCCCTTCCAGTAGATTTGTGGGATAAATGAGGTTGGAAGGGATCTCAGGAGGATAAGAGATTTTGCATTACTCCCATTTCCATTCCTACAGCTCCTGGGCACAGAGACCTGCAGCACAAGTGTGACAGAAGTGTGACAGCACAGGTGGGACCTGGAGTCCCAGGTGTGGAGATGGATCTGTGGCCTCCCAGCTGAAGAGATGACAGAATTTCCTGCATCACCTGATCCACCTAATTGCTGATCTGCGGAAAGGCTTCAAAACACCAAACAGCTGGGAAGAACTGGAGCTGCAAACAGCAATTTATGCTAAAGGTTGCAAAATCTGCTTGGAATTTACACCTTTCAAACAAGGGAGGAAAATTTAGCAGGGAGGTGACAGTTCCAGTCCTGACTGGTTAATGGCTGCTGCAACAGGGTGTTAGGAGTGAGCAGGGGTGTTTAAAAGGATCAACATGTGAATGAAGCTCTGTTTTGGGGAACATGAATCACTAACAATCAATTGAGAGATATGGAAAATGAAATGAAAACAAGTGCAAGAGCCTTAGGCAGGTGAGAGAATAATGAAGGAAAGTTGAAGGGAGGAATACTGCACAGTGAGGAAGAGCTGGGAGTGAAATATAATCTGGGGATGGCCCCCAAATGAAGTGACTGTCTTACCTCAGCTTTTCTTATGTGGGGAATATTGAACTGATGGAGAACAGGAGGTGGTGAATGGAAGTGAGGAGGTTCAAGCATCAAACCAAGTTGTTGAGGGAGTTTGAAAATACTGGCACAGGAAATCAGAGGAACTGTAATAAGAGCTGTAATTTACTCTTCCTGGTGTTGCCATCCTGTGACTAGAAGCCAGTGAGGCAGAACCTGTCTATAAGGAAGTAAAAGCTAAAAACTGAAAACAAATGTCCAAGAACTGACAGTCACAGGAGGTGTGATAGCTGTAGACTGAATTTAAACTCTCCTTCCTAGAAAGGAGAGTTTTGCCTTTGTCCACTGCATCAGAAGGGAGAAGGACATGCAGCACCACATGCACACAACCCTCCCCGGATGAGAGATGATCCCCACCAACTCTGCCACTCCATCAGGTCCAAACCTACAGTCTGTGCAGGAGTTTCCATCAGGAGTTGTGCTGTGACCTTGGGAACCACACCCAGAGCCCCGTGGGGAATCCAGCCCTTCTCCTGTTCATCTCTCCTATCACATGTGATTCATACCTTTCTCAGCTCCGCTCCTGGGTGCTCCCATGCTCTGCCGTTGTGTTATAAATGAGTGGCTGTTGGTGTTGGTTGATATTTAATGAAGTCCATGTAATACTCTTCACTTATTTACTTACCCGATCCCAGTCTTAATACCCAGCCTGGGAAAGTTATCTTGGCTTCTTTAAGCTTTTCCACCATTAGCAATAAACGTTTTACAGTCTTGGCAAGCTGAGGCTGAAAAGCGAGAGCATGACTTCAAACAGCACTGCTCACAGAGAAGGCTTTAAACTGATACTAAATCACTAAACTGTGCAAACATAACAGTCCTGTAATAAAGATAATCTGTGAGCAGTTCAGTCCAGGAGGGGCTCTGGTCCTTGGTGAAACCTCTGGGCCCCACAAACTACAGAACCCTTTTGGGCAACTCAGTGTCCGAGCAGAGAGGCACTCATGCTGCAGTGCTGGATAAGGTCTGCCTTGCGTGAGCGTGAGGCTTCCATCTCAAGCCTAAGCTGCTCCTCCTGCACCAGTGCAGCAGAATGGGAAGGGCTGTAGGGGAGCAGCAGTCTCTACTAATCACCCCAGGCAGGTACCAGGCTCCAGACGTGGTGCCTGGCTGTGATACAATCCAGCAGCTATTTCTCTGCACTCAGAGGAAGAAGTGACTAAGAAAATACACCCTAAATGACCATAAATATTGCACTCAAAGCCTGGAAGTGTGCATCCTCCAGGACAGGCTTCCGTGCCTGCTGTCACCCTGCGTGTGGTGGTGTGAGGAGGGGATCTCACAGGTGGGAGCAGCACACACTGCAGGGAACCATCCCTGCTCTGCTCATGCCCTCCCCACGCACAGATGGCAGGCCAGACCCACATGCACAACGCTGCAAACCGGCACTAATGTGCAAATGCACACAAATCTGTAGCATCTGCTGCCAAAGCAGCTGTACACAGGCAGGCACCACCACCCAGGCACATAAAGCTGTGCTAAGGTGCTGGCAGAGCCCCAGACAGCCCAGTGTGTGTGGTGGGACACAGACTCACAGCCTTACCCAGGCTTTGAGGGATGACTTTCTCTCTCCTTGGCTTTACCAGCTTTAAGATGAGCAGGTTTTTTTGCCAAAGCTTGGTGAGGAATGTGCTTGGCAGGACCTCTGAATGTTTTAAATATTACAGGATTTCTGTTGTTTAATTTTATAGAATCACAGAATAACTTAGGTTGGAAGGAACCTTTAAAGGACATCTAGTCCAACGCCCAGTTTGTCCTGAACTGAGCATTTCCTTTTGCTGCATTTCATGCACACTGGAAGGAGAGCAGCTGTCTCCGAGGCAGGATGGATCCCTGGCAGGATTAACCCTCGAAAGGAGCTGGGATGGGGCTGCCAAGGGACCTTGGCAGCTGCTCCTTGCAGCCCCTCCATGGCACAGGCTGCAGCTGCTGGAGCAGTAGAAACATTCAGGTTTGCTCCTGCAAGAAACCAGTTGGTGAATGTTGGAGATGCTTTCCAGGGGAAGCATTGCTGGGTTGGACTGAGTGCTCCAGCTCTTGGGGCTGTCAGCCTGGGGTTCATTCAGAAGCTCATATATCAGTGGGAAGGGGTGAAGCAAGGCTGGGTTTTAGAGTAACCCCTGAGTGATATCTTTGCACCTCCTTAGGGTGAAGAAATGCAGCTTCATGGTGGACTGTGAGGGGAGGAGCTGCATGCAAGAAATAGTAGGATTTCAATGGAAAATTAAGAGTCTGGAATGCTGGAGGTGCCTCCACTGCCTCCCCAATGGGTGTGCAGCACAGCAGATCTCCTGTGTGCTCTTCCAGGTGAGAAAGTGCCACTCTAATCCCACACCTTAGAATATGGTTCAGAGAAGGCTAAAACCCACTCAGAAGTGAGGATCCCAATGGCTGTCCTTTATCTGTGCTGGAAGTGCTGTAGGTCTGAGTCAGGAATTCTGGTTTTGGCGTTAAGGTTTCTCTTTGCTGCTTCTGCCTCAAGCTTTTTTCTCAGTGGCTTGTCCCTGCAAAATCAGCTCTGAGTGGATTCCAGGACATGCATGAGCCAATGTGCTCCATGTCAGTGGTTAATGGTAAGTAACTCATCAGCAGGATTAATTAAAAAGTGTTTTTAAGGCACAGTGATGTTTTGGAGAGTCCTGGAAAGGAACAGAATATTATGAGTTACTTTATTGTAATGACTTTCCTGGTCAGTGAGGGGGAACATGTCATGTTCCAGCCAGTGCTGACACCTGGGTTGGCAGCAGCAGAGAGGAATTCCTGTCTGGCTTGGGATGCTTTCTCTGGTGGGTGTCTATGCAGGCATTCCCTCAGGCAACTCTTGGGCTGTTTCTTGCACCCAGAGCAGTTTCTAGGAGGAGCTGGGGAATCACAACAGCTCCCCCAGGCCCTCATCTGGTGTGGGGTCCCCCAGGCTCACAAGGGGTCCTTGGTCTTTGTGAACCCATGGGGTCCCATGGGACTGCAGGTTCCAGCCAGGCAGAGCCACCAGATGTGAGGGGCTGGAGTGGAGCCTGGCAGCAGAGCCCAGGGCTTTGTGTAACCCATGACTAAACTCCAGGTTAGGGGTGCCCTAAGGCCTCTGGAAGATTTTAGTCACGATCAGGAAAGCCTGGCATCACTCCAGTTCCAAAACCAGAGTAAACCTAGGAAATACAGTTCCCAAACCGCCTTCTTTCCCAGACCCAGGTTAGACTCAGAGCTCTTCTTCCCCTGGGTTTGAACTGGGAGCATTCTGTTGGTCCCAGCAGCCTCTCCTCTCTCACAGGACACTGAACTGCAGGTCGTGACTGCAGAGTTGTTTGTGCCAAGCTCTCCTGCTCACTCTCACATAGAGAAGCTGACAATATATTGCCATTTTTATTGGCCTGGCTGGCAATTTTTCAGGTGCTAGGTGTGTTTATGATTGTCAGGGTCACACCTCAGTTCGGAATGGGGAGAGGGATTTTAGACAAACCCACACCTTACCATTCTTCTCCAGCCTCTCTGAGTGGAAAGGATTTGTGCAGTGTGTGGCCTGAGTTCCCCAGTTGGTTGGTGATATTTTGATTAAACCCAGAGGGAACTGGCCAGCCTGGCACATGGAATTGCCTGGCTCAGCAGTGCCACGTTGCTGAGCTGTCCCTGCTGCCTCTTGGTGTTCATGACTATCTGTGCCTGTGTGTGCACTTGTAAGTTTAATAGCAGCAATAGTTGCTTTTGTCAGAGATGATATGCAGGTCATAAAACTTGTTTGCCTTTTTTTCCCCCCCTCCCACTAAGATAGGAAAGCTGTGGAAAAGGCTCCAAAGCCTGCTGGCTCTTTCAGATGGAAGTTATATAAGGAATATGAAAAGAATGCATTTCATAGTGGCCAAAGGACCTAAAAATACCACTTTCACAGATCTTTGCTTGGACATCATGAAAAGATTCCGCAGCCGGAGATGGTGCTCTCCAGGAAATCATCCCTAGGCTGAGCTGCAGGCACAGAAAGCTCTTGTGTTCAAAAACAATGTAAGGGAAGTTGTGTGTCGAAGGCCAATCCTCAGAGCAGCCATCTCCTGTGACATGGGACATGGCCTGTAGGCTCCAGGGAGCCCAGCAGGATAAAACACAGGAGTGGAAAGTGTTTCAGGATGATTCCAGGCTGGAGTGACAAAAGAGGTGAGAGCTGGGATGGAGGATACCGATGAAGGACAAGGTTGCTTCTGGGGCAGTTCATAGGGTTTTTTTTTCCAAGTGAGCTGAATCCAGCAATAAGAAATCTCCTGTAGGAAGTGCACTGATTTAAGATTAACCAGGTAAAGGGCAACCTTGATAGAGCAGTTCATGGGAAGGAGAATTTATTGCTTCAAAGATTTGATATTACTTATATGGAGTTTTTAGGGCATATACCCAGGTAAAACCAACCATGAATCACAGCAGACGAGTCCCGGGGTTTTTTTGTTCCACATTAAAAAAAATGAATTAACTCCTTTTCTTTCTCTTGCCTGGACTAACCACTTAGTCCTGTGTGTGCTGGGAATACATGTCCTGTGACTGCCTCTGGTTCCCTTGTTCAGGCATTCAGCAGTGATGCTGGGGCTCTGGATCCTCACAGGTAGTGAGGGCAGGTTATTTGAGACCTGTCCTGTTCTCCCAAGTCCTTGACTCAGAGTGGAGACAGGCTCTAAATGCCTCAAACACAGGCTGGATCTCATCCCTGCATCTCAGCCCTGCTGGCAGTGTGACTGTCACTGGGACACCACTGGATGTGCTAATGGGATGGAAAATCAGGCTGCTTCTCATCCCTTGTACCTAGGATGAGACTGCCCACCTCAATTCTCATCAGAGGTGGGAGATGGGGGAACATGAGGGCAAACTCCCGCAGAGCAGAGCTGAAAATTCTGGATGGTGTTCCTTCTCAGAGACCTAATCTTTACAGCCATCTACACCTCTCTCCCCTCTTCCTGTTCTCTTCCTGGGCAGGCTACAGCTCAGGCTACAGCACAGGCTCCTGTGGTCAGAAAAGCAGGTCGTTAAGAACCTTCACTAATTACTAGTGTATTCTTTACAGCCAGTGATAAATTGATTTTCACTTGATCATCTTACTGTGCCCTATAGGCTCAGTCTGGCTTCCACCTGCTGCCAGCAACAGGGTGGCTGTGTTTGAAACAAAGGACAATCACTCACCCCAAAGTGCTCAGAAATTACCTTTGAAACAGAAGAGGGACATAAAAATTAACATGTCTGAAATGTGAATAAGATATTTTAGTTTCATTTGCTTGGCTTTCCGAATGTGGTTACTTCAAGCCTTTAAGCTCCCTGGAATCATGAAAGCAAATATTTATTCTTCATGTTTGTTTTTCTTTTAATGAAAATTGGGATTGTCATTCAGTCTTATGATTCCAGCACACGTGGCTTCAGGACAGACACCAGCCAGCAGTGGGCTTGCCAGGAAATAGTGACAGCTGGCAACAGCATCAAACACTTGTTTGGGCTTTTTTCTTCATACACATATGCTTTGTGCTCAGACCAACAGGGAGGTTAGCTCCTTGATTTAAAATAAATCCTCCCAGAAGAAAGAAATCCATCTGTCTGGGAAAAGTTAGAAAATATTTTTCATTTATTTTTCTTTTTTTTTCTTTTTTTTTTTTTTTTTTTATGAATACAAATTCTTGTGAAGAAATATTCTTCTGTTTCCATTGGAAGGCAGAAACCAGCAAAAATTAATGTACAATATCGAGGAATACTTGGTGCAAATGGACCAAAAAGGATTCCCCACAAAGTATGTCTACATACAAGAAAAAAGTTTGCTGCAGTTGGAAAAGACAGCCTGGTTATTACAGGGTTGGGTTTTTTTTTGCATTTAATCTCCCAATTATAAATAATCAATGTGATTTACAAAATAATTTACAGGAAATGATTGGATTCATCATTGCAATAAGTTACTTAGTACGATGCCACCAGCACTGAGACCCTACAATACCTCTGACACCGCCAGCATGAGGTGTTTCATTTTTGCATTGGAAATCAAGGGACGGAGCTGCAGCTCCTCTGGCTGAGCTGGCTCAGATTTGTCCCCACCAGAGACCTCCTGGCAGCCGTGGGCCACCATCCTCATCCTCCCAAGAGGCCAGCAATGACTCAGGCCTGCAGTGGTGCAGGGCTCTGGGAGCTCAGCCCTGCTGGCACTGCTGGCTGCAGGAGAGCTCCTTTCCTGGTTTCAGCTGTAAACCAAAGGTCACATCCACAGGTTTTGGCACAGGCAGGCACAGAGGGACAGGGGCAGGGGCATGAGGGAGCAGAGCAGGGTGGGCAGACCCAAGGGGTTTGGGTGAGACAGGGTTATTGCTTGACCTCTGTCACATTTCTCTGCAGGACTCAAAGAAAATTTTATTTTTGAGGTTGGTGCTCTTGAACACTTGGAGGTCTGAAGGAGTCATAATCAATTCTTATCATGTTATAAAGACCTATAAATCTGTTATCAGCCACCCACTGAAGGAGCTGAGGCTGAAGGAGTGGCACTGCATTGGAGAAGTAGATTGTGTGGCATATCTTAGCATTAAAGTTGTGTCTGAATTGAGATCCTGCATCCCAATGCTCCCAGCACTTAGAAAGCCCAAGACCTTGTCCAATCTGTGACGCTCAACCTTCTCAACCCATAGGTCTCTCCCCTTCCTACCTCTTTCCCCCACTTCCTTCCCAATAGGCATCCAGTGGTCTTCTTCTGACTGCTGAGAAGCACTAGTTGGGCCAGTGATATTTTGGGCAGTTGCTGCCAGCCTGTAAAGGGGTGAGCCCATCCCATTAGCTGAAATCTCTGGAGTCCCATGGTCCCTCAGATTCCCAGGAGGCAGTGAGCGGTGCAAGGGAAGGGCTTGGCAGTGCTTGCTCTCCAAGCATTGTGGTGAGAGGGCAGGCACAGAACAGAAACACCAACACCCCTCAAGAGGCAGAGGGATACAAACAGTGGGGTATCTTTGTCTGGGCCAGACTTTGCCCCAGCATCAGCTGAAAAGATTTGTTAGATCTGGCTGGGGGGCTTAGAGTGCTGGAGGGTGACACCACGCAAAGACCAGGGACTAGCCGAGGCTGAGGAGCAGTTCTGGCAGTGCTGCCTGGGCAAACCCCATGTGCTTCACCTGCTGTGATGCTCCTGGGGGAGCTTCCACCTCCACCAAGTCTGGCTGGACTGGGGACTGTCAGGGGGCTGGCATGGCCATGGGAGGGAAACCCTGCACTCCCACGGCACAGGGAATTGCTTGTTCACAGGGTCTGCTGAACCAATGCTGAGGTGGCAGTGGGGCAACAGCCTGTCCCCAGCCAGGCACTGTCACTTCCCCACAGAGGGAGGCAGGAATCTGGCCCTCCTTACAAGGACTGAGGGTTTTGGCTTCAGCCTTAGTTCTGGGACTCTGGGGCTGCCCATGGCACGTGCTGTCCGGAGCTGCAGGAAGACAGCTGGTGGTGGCCGGTCCAACAAACGAATGTTTGTGCCCAGGGACCTCTGGATGGCTTCTCTTTTCACAGTGGCAGAGTCAGTTCGGGCTTCTCTCCCACACGGTGTTCCTAAGGAGGCTGGCTGCTGTGGGGGTTGCTAGATGACCTCCTGTTTTGTGATGGCAGGCTGTGGGATGGACGTGGGCTGCTTTGCCACGGTTGCAATGGCTCCAGGCAGCAGCTTGTACTGCTCTGATCCTGAGCCCGCGGGTGGAGAAGGCTGTGGAGTTTCTGGAGTAGCTGAAGAGAGAGAAACCAAATTAAAAGAGGGCCTCACAAACCTGACAGCACTGGGATCTGTCCTCAGTCCTGCAGGCTTCAGATGTCAGCACAGCCTCTTAAGGGCTTGTGTGTTTGCTCTAGGGCAGCCCAGACATGCAGGCATGGTTAGATGCCCCAGGAGAACCACAATAACCAACATCAAATAAGGGCAGATGCTGATGTTTGGACCTGTACTAACCACATTTTTGGTCAGCCAAGGTCACCTCAGCACAAGGTCCCCAGTGGTGGCTCCATGTGGTGGGCCAGATCCTCCTGTGTTTTTTCAGAGGATAAGCTGAGGTATGTCTGAACCATTCAAGGGAAGGGGAGCCTTTCCACTGATTTCACTAAGCTCTGGATAGGATCATTCATCCCTTAAGGGCTATGTAAAAGTTAGTCTGCCAAGGAGTATCTTGTTGAATCATTTAGTCTGGCCTAATCTAATCTAACCCACCTCTCTGTTTGTCTTTCCCTCCTTTCTGCATAGGAATTTCTCACACACTCATTACCAGAGACTTTGTCTTGCTTGCAGATTTCCTTGCAAGATAGAAATTACCTCCACAGGCACACTGGAAAGCTCCTGGTTTCTCCCAGGAGCTCTCTGTCTCTCTGGATATACTCACACATCTGCCCGTTGTGCATCTGAGGAGGCATTGTGTTGGCCACAATGACGTTTGTTCCCAGGTTCTCCTGGATCAGATGGGGGTGCAGGGGGTGGTGGGTGTGCGGCGTTTCACTTGATGAGCCTAGAACATGCATAAGACATTAATTGCCACAATGGCAGAATGAGACAGTTCAGATGGGCAGACCCACTGCACCCAAGGCTCCAAGGCTTTGTGCACAATCAGCTTGTGCACAAGTGACTGGAGCACACCCTTCCCTTTCCCTCCATGGATGCCTTGAGCTAATTAACCCCTGCCTGCTGCCTGCATGTCCTCTTATACACAACTGTATTCTTTAGTCACACCTCCATGTGAAGAATAGCACAGTGGGAACTTTTCATTTTGTTTTGTCCCATTGGATTCTCCCACTAGAAAATCTATGATGTTCTTTCAACCTGAGCTTTCAGACCTTTTTGTTTTGATGAGTCCCTTCTGGCAGAAGAGGATTGGTGTCTGGGGGTGCACAGCCAAGCTCCTGTGTGTGCAGGGGGCTGGGGATGCCTCTGTAAACACAGGCACAGCTAATGCATCTCTTTAGGTGAGGAGAAGTAGAGGACCCTTGGTTACCCCTGTCAAGGACAGGGGAGATGATTTTGTGTGAGTCAAGGGCTGACCTGCAGGCTGGCTGTCTCTAACTTTTCTAGACAGGGAGCAGTGACTAACGAAGGTCTCAGGGGACAATAATCAGGGAACACTGAGAGGCCTCTTGTCAGACCCTCAAGTACTCACCTCCCAGCAGCATCTCCTGCAGCAGGTTGTCAATCTTAGCCATGCCAAAGAGCTTGACGAACTGGATCTGTTCTATCATCTGCCAGGTGATGCTCTGCAGCACGGGCAGCAGCAGCAGCAGCTCCCCGAAGCGGCCCCGCGAGTCGTACTGCCGGTCGTTGATGTAATCCTCCAGGCTCACCTGCACCTGGTACCGCATCCGCTTGATCTTGGACGGGTCGCTCAGTCCCTTGGCATCTGCAACAACCCACACAGCAAACTCTCCAGGCTGCTCCCCTGGAAGCTGTCTGCCAGTGCCAGCATGAAGTCTGGGCACAGCCTGAGGTGAGCTGCCTCTGCTTCCCCATTGTCTGCTGTGATGGACAATCTTTCTCTTCTTTGACTTCTCCCCTCCCTCTCTAAGAACAGTTTGGCCCAGACAGGAGACCAGGCACCATTTCCACCATGGTGCTAGTCAGCATAATCCAGACTAGGCCCCTCTGATGGGAACCCTTGCCAAGCTGGGGCATACCTGGGTCAAAGAAGATGATGGCTTTCAAGCAGGCATATTCATTGTCATCTATCTGCAGCTCCTGGAAGGGCAGGACCAGCTCGTCCAGGATGCGGATGGCCACACGATTCACCTCCACCAGCTCGGGGCAGTTCCGCGGGATGATGTGATCATTTCCTTCAGACAAGCAGCACAGACACCATCATGCTGTCATTGCTCAACACTTATCCAGGGTGACAAGGGGTTCAAAATGCAGGTAACTAATGCTGAGATAATCATGGGGGTGGAGGAATTAAGAAGTCCCTCCTTCAGCCCCAACCCTGTCTCAGAAGAGCAGAAATTTTGATTTGTGTTGCCAGAGCAGCTTCTCATTACACAGGAGCCACTCAAGTGAGGAAAAGCTGACCAAGGAGTGTGAGCTTTCTCAATCCCGTCACAGCCGGTTTACACAAACCTGGGGGTACACCATGAATCTTCACACAGCCCCCACACATCATGGCTTTGATGTCAATGTCAGCCAGGCCTAGCTGCACCCAAAGGTTTTGCTGGGCTTGCTAAAATACAGAACAGCTCAAGCCACCACCCTTGCAAAAAGGATGTCCACAAACACTGAACCACCCTCTCCTTCACCCCAGCAGAGAAGTGTCACAGAAGCAGATGGGCTGGGAGCAGAAGGGCAATTTTTACCTAGCAGCAAGACATCCTTGAACACCATGGACCTCTTGGCAGCTCCCAGTAACAGATGCTCCCCTGCGTGTGCACGTAGCAGTGCTACCTGCAAGGGCAGGGAAAGTTATTTCAGTGATGGAGAGACTGAGACAAAGCTGTGATTTCATGTAAGCAAGAGGGAAAGGTCAGCATTCCTGTACTGCACTCAGGGATGGGGAGTGAGGGCCCCTCTTCAGTTACAGGCAGAGAAAGAGATCAAAAACCAGTCTGTGCTAAACCAGTTATAAATCCAGCAGAACCAGCAGACAGCACCTGAAATATCTCATATTCAGGACATATGTCATGAGCAAGACTGTGTTAGGCTGTCCCAGGATCTCCCAGCACTGTGGGCTGTTTGCACACAACTCCTACCAAGTGCAGAACCAGGGGCCACACTCCACCCTGGGAAGTGGGGTGAAGTACAACCTGCTGCTGGACAGCTGCTGTCCCTCTGGGCTGTGCCCACCTGCCACTGAAACCACAGCCTTGGGGACCCGTGTCCTGCTGGCCCTCCACAGCCACAGGAATTGGGGACAGGGAAGCCAAAGGGATGTTTTTCTCCCCTGATGTTAATGATTGAAGTGTTTCACTTTACACCCTCCAGTGGCTCCTGAGAATGTTCTGAATCTTTTGCCCTCCTTCAGTTAAAATTTCAGAGATTTAGGCAGAAAGAGAAGTTAACAATTGGACATCCTGACACAGAGGCTTCTTAATGTCCAGCCAGGAGCTTCTGCTGGGGAAAACAATCATTAAACATTAATAGAGAAATGCTGAAAAGTATGTCCTGATGGGAATGGTCCCCTTTTCCAGTGTGTTATCCTCAGCATCTGTCAAAGCCAGGAGAAGTCTCACCCTACCAGAAATGCCAGAAGAATGTATCACCCATAGAAGAGAGCTCTGGTTAGGAAAGATGCTGATGTCTAGGAGAGGATTGTGGTTTTTTCCCCCAAATGGTAAAATAGGTTATGCAAAATAAACAGAGTAGAGATCCTTGCAAAAAGACTGCACACACATGACACTGGGGAATCTTTATCTAGATGCCAAAATCTAGCCTCTCTCTGTTGCTGTCCAAACATGGGTGGATATGTTAGCTGAGCTGCTTGGGATTACCTGAATTACCAAAATTTTCTACCAGGAATTAACAAAACTGAGCTTTCCTACCTGAAAAAACTTTGACAAGGAAAAAACTGCCAGTCCCAGGGGGGAATGAAGCTCTCACCTAGAAGTTTCCTGCCTATTGCAAATTCAAGAAGGTTCAGTTTGTAGCCCCCTTTTTTGTGTCCATAAAATTTCATTGTTTGAGCAGGGTTAAAGTGAATTAAATCTTCAAGAAGACCAAACCATCTCATTTGATATTTGTTCTTGCAGTGATGAACCTGAGATCCATCGTTCCATTGTGAACTAGGATAAATATGCAGTTGTAACACAACAAAGCAGAACTTGAACTTCAAGATGAAATGGCTTTGCCCCACCAAACATGGTAGTTTTGACATTTTGGTGAAGAAGGAGAATGAGGGGTTGTGTATGACCTTTTCTACAAAAGGAGATTATTTCATGCCTGTGGAGCAGCCTCTCCCTTATGGGAAGGCAGGGTTCAAACTGTGCCATCTTTAGGTTTTGTTTTCGCCTTTGAGGAACTTTGCAGCTCCACAACTCGTGTAAAATGAGCTCATGTGGAAGCTGCTGTAGTTTGCAGAGTTATTGGCCAGGTTTAGGGCCTCTGTTCCAAATGGCACAAGGATGTGATGGGTTGTGCAGAGCAGCTCCAGGTCTGTGCTGGGCTGCAGCCTGTTTGCTGTGTAAATGGCATTTGCCATTGGAGTCTATTTTGGTTTTCATAAATTATGAATTGTATTTTCCTCAGCAATTTAACAGATTTCTTATAATTTTCAACAATATAGTACTTGCAGACAATAGAAAAGAAGGAAATATGCTCCCATTTTAAGAGCACTGAGTTCCCCAGAGCTCTAGGAGCTGCTGGGTAGTTAAAGAGCTCAGATTTAGGATTTAGGAGGTTTTGATCAGCTGGATACTCTCAACTGGATATCCTTTTTCTTCATTACATAAAAATTACCTTTAGGTCAATAGGGCTGGAGGCTGGTCCTAGCTGAAGAGAGCACATGCTGATTTTGTGACTGGACTGACTGGAAATACCTTCCTACCTGTGACAGGACCTGTGATGGCCCTGCCAGAAGTGCTCTCCCAGCCACACGTGCTGCTCAAGACTGGACACACATCATGTCCTTCAACACCTGCTGCAGACCTCTGAAATTTAGACTTCCACAGGAAGCCTCTCCTTGTACCTCTTTGAGGCTGCCTGAGATCCTGCAGTGCAGCTCTACAGAGGACACCAAACCCACTGTGCTTATCTGCTTTAGGCAACCTGCAAATGTCATCTCAGTAATTTCTGCTAAATGCAAATATATTATTGCTTTTTAATCCTGTAAAAAACATTTTCTACCGCTTTGGGAGCAAACTAGTGCTCAGCTTCAAAATTTCATGCTGAGAGCATGGATACAAACATACCCCTGGGCAGGAAGCAGCAAGGGACAAGCAGATTTTAGGTTTTGGGCATACCTTAGGCCAGGAATCTCTGCTGCTAATTCTGATTACCCCAAGCATTTGTATAGCACTTCAGGTTTTCAAAGTGCTGCGCAAACCATAATTAATAAATGACTGTCTGACCCCAAAATGCTGCTCTGATAAGGACCCAGTTCAAGCTCAGCGTTATCTGGCTGTGCTCATCGGCTGATTAGCGGCACATGCAAGTGGCCACTGCTGGCATTGTATGGATGCCTGGCCTGTGCTGGCATTGTATGGATGCTGTTCCCAATCAGCTGCAGCAGTCAGGATAACAGAGTGCACAATGAGCATTTTCTTTGAAGGTCTCAGCTGGCTTTGGCTCCCCGTTGCCTTCAGCAGAGCAGAGCGAGGTGGGGTGGATGGGGGGACTTGCCTGGTCATCCAGGGGCAGCTCACAGAACGGGGGGATGTACTTGGCCCACTCCACCAACACCAGCAGCTGCTGCTTCATGGACTCACACACGTCAGAAATATTGGCAATCTTCTTCCCTCGGATGTCTCCGTTGAGCACAGGAACCGGGGATGATATCTGGAAGGAGAGAAGAGATCCTTCAGCTTTCAGTGCCACAGAGGAACCCCAGAGAGGAAAATCCCCAGCCCATGGGCTGTGTTGGTGCACACTCCAGAAATTACAATTACATTTTCCTATTGCACACAGCCTGCTCCCAGAGCAGGTGACCCAACAAGGCTCATTGGACCTGAGATCAGCTCAGGGATCTGTGAACATGAATGGCTGCAGAGCAGAGGCTGTGGATCATCTTGATAAACTGTAATGCTTTGAATAGACTGGAAAGCACAGAAGAAACATTCCTAAAGCCAGGATCTTCCTCCCACTGAACAAATGTGCTCAGTCAAGATCCAGGAGAGAACAGAGGGGCTTGTGTGGCCGTCAGCCTCACCAGTAGAAAGGACACGTCCACCCAGCGCTGCTGCACAAGCTGCTTGGTCCCACCAAAGTGCAGGGAACTGTTCCCTCTCCCACCCTGCTCCAGAGGCAGTGCTTGGCCAGAGCTGCTGTGTCTGCTTTCCACAGGAGGCCAGCAGGCTCTGCTCCTCTCCTGAGTCATCATGAGCACACCAAGGCACAGCTTGGCAGCTCTGACATTGCACCTGGTCACTAATGCTTGACATCACACGCTTTGAATAGCTAAAGACAGAATTTAAAGATAACAGCCTCCCACCTCCCACTGGCTTTTAGGTCCTTTTGGCAAAACTGGGCAAGTGCAAACATGTCCACAACTCAGGTCACATTTATTACATGGCAAATTTTTTTGTGATTGCCATTTTATTTGCAAAGGACAAACCTTACAACTCGGCAAGTACTGTCTCCCAGAGCTGGACAGAACATCTCCCCCAAACCAGGCACCCAACCTCCTGCCTGGTTCTCATGCATAGCTGCTCACCCAGGTCACCTGAAAATTTGCCCTTAGTCACAACTTCATCCTCATGCTTCTGTAAGCAATTAACTCAACCCCATCACTGCCCTCTGCCTGCCCTCTGTGCTCTTGTACAACATCAGCTCTTCCTGTCCTATTCCTGCCAGCATTTTCAGCTTGGACCCTGCCAGCCTCCCAAAAGAAATAAAATTCAAATAACACTTTTTTTTCTTTTTTTTTTTTTTCTTTCCAGGTTGCATTACCTGGAGGCTTTCCAGCTCACCAGCTATTACTGAATAAATACGATTGTAAAAATCTCACCATGAATTAACCTAATCAGAGGGCCCGGAAGGCTTAGCAAATAAATAAAGACCTCTGAGTGAGTGACCCTAGATCTTGGAGAAAGCAGCTCCTCAGCAGTATCTTGTTCTAATTAGCCACGCACATAAAAGTTACCAATTACTGTGCTGGAGCCTGCCTTGTTTAATGAGTCTCTCTGTGCTCTGTGGGAGAGCAGGAGCTCCCCTGGATTTGTCCATGGCTGTAGTTTTTATCAGCAGACCCTACTTACATGTGATGGCCCTGCAGGACTCTGAGCCCTGGAAATGTCCTGCCCCTGTAGATTTGGTAACTCGAGACCCCATCATCTCACACCTCTGGGAGCAGCACCAAGTTAATTTTTATAGGGTATATAAATATATTCGGGCCTGCATAGGACAAGGTGAGACGTGGGATGAGACTGGATATCCTTTTTGTGTATCAGATTGGCCCTTCTGGCATATTCCCTCCTTGGGGAAGTGGACCTTACAGCCTGAGCCTAATGTGAAGCCCAGAGCACAGCATGTCCTGTCCTGGAGCATCTCCCAGGGCAGCCTTTGGGGTACAGTGACCCTTGAAACAGCGTGGATGCCAACTCAGCCCCCTGCTCCTGCCCAGGACACAGAGTGCTGTTCTTCCCAGCTCCCATGAAGAGAGGCAGCTCTTGTCTCCAGCACAGCTCCATCCTCATCACTTGTTCTCCCAGACAAACCCTCCCTGCAGGCTGTGTGTGCCCATCCTGTCCTGTGTCCTCCCAGAGCTGTGTACACCTTTACAGTACCCAGTCTCTTAAATCAGAGTTATCTTTTCAGTGTGAACGCTCCAGGAAACAAATCTTGGCAGCATGCAAGTGGAAACAGGGAATTTCAAGCAAGCACTGGAAAAGGTATCTGCATAAAACAAGCAGGAAACTGATTCCTCATGAAACTGTGCAGGAATCCAAAGTTCCTGACAGCTCATGGGGAAGGGAGGCTGCTCATGCAAGGCCAGCCCCTCGTGGGCTCAGGCAGCCACAGCTCTTTGGATTGCAATGATTCTACCCTGTTTTCTTCCATCAGGCTCTCCAGCCTTCCTAAAGCAGAACAAATCATTGCATATTGTTACAACTGAGTTCTGGACTAAGGAGATTTAAAGGGATGGCTTCAGGTAACAATTTATTTTTGAAAAATCAGTGTTGAGCTGGCAAATAAAGCACTTAGAAAAGAGGTGATAATTTGAAGACTGAGCTATTAAACACTCAGCTGTCTCTACAAGCCAGGTAGTGCCTGATGCTTTTGCATTTGCTAAGAAGAAAGAAGAAGTACCTGCTGTGCCAGGGCTTCTGCGTGCAGGAGGGCATTGATGGAGGGCAAGCTGCTGTCCTCGTAACTTGATCTGCGGGTGCTGATTCGGTCCCGTTCATTTTGTACAGCTGCAAGAGAGGATTTTGGCTGAGCTGCAGGTCGTTCATGGCAATGCACACTAAAAACTAGCACAGACTTTTGGCGTTCCCCTTCCTTAGCTGCAGTTTCTCAGCTTCCCTGCCAGGCAGGGCGGAGGTGCAGCTGTGTCTGGTTTGTGATGGGATGCCAGCGAGAGCCGACTGCATCTGGTGGATCTGATTTTTTATTTGCTTTATTAGACTTTCCAGGGATGGGGTTGATTCAGAACCCAAACACCTGTAGAGTTCAGCAGGGAAAATTTCCTGGCAAAGGATCTGAGTGTTTTGATTTCATGATACGGGGTTTGAAACGGTGGCCACGCTCATGTACTCAGCCCAAAGCTGATGTGTGAAATGGAGGAGTATCTGCAAGGTTTCCTTGCCCACATGACTCCTGTGAGCTCCATTCAGAAAGCTGTTGCACTGGGCAGGTGTAACTGGAAAACTTCTGTTTCAACTACAGTATGGAAGGAAGTGCTGAACTGCTCCTGTTTGTCCATCCAGAGCAGAAGAGTTCTCTCTCGCACCTTACTGCAAAAGCATCCCAGGACAGGTTTGACCCCAGTGTGCCTCCCTGTTTGGTCTAGTCTTGAGAGCCTTGAGGGCTTTGAGGGGGAGGATTTGCCTGCTCTGTCTGTCACGAGGCCATAACTCACCCTGGCCACGCCACTCAAAGCCATCTGCTCAAATAAGCTATTGATCCGTGGCAGGGGGAGCAGCACAGTCCCTGCCTTAGGCTGGTGGCTCTGGATTGATACGTTCTCGATGTATAAATCTGCCTGATAAAAAGCAATAATGAGGCTGGGCCAGGAGAAAAGCCCTGCAGTCAGCGGCTGTAAATAAGAGCTCTCAAGGTTATGCTGCTTGTTATCAGTAGCAGGCCCCCGAGTTCAGTCATGCCACGATGTTTTCCAAATGTTTGCTCAGTATTAGCTGGTCATGCACCTAATGTAACTTCTATTGAATATTAACAGACAACAGCACAGCTCTGGGCAGGGGATGAGCTGCATGGAGAGGAGGATTCCTATATTCTTCAGGAAAAGTCAAGAAAAGTTGCTTGTGATATCTCATCCCCTTTTATAGGGAATAAATGTTCCTGCTCAGAGGTCTTCCTGCAGCCACCAACGTACCACTGGTACTTCCTTGTTGTCTTCAAGGACCCTTTTACTCCAAAGTTTCTCCTTGAGGAGGTGTGAACTGGGAGGAGCATGGGGTTTAATTTCCCTGCATGCAATAACAGGACCAAATGCCTCCCAGTTGTCCCTCTGCAGACAGGAGTGGGGTGAGCTCTGGGGGGTGCCTCTGCTCCTGGCACTTTGTCCCTCCACTAACAGGACCACCATCAAGGCCACCAGGTTTTCCTGAAATGGGGCTAAACAGGGGGAGAATCCTGCTGTGGGGACCTGTAAGGGCTGCAGAGACAGGGAGGTAGGGAAGCTGAGGGGATGAATATGGGCCATGCAGGGATATCTCTACTCTTTTCATTCAGTTAAATAGCAAAATTGCTCCACTTTACTCTGGATCCTTTCTGCTGTGGCTGAAACTAAACTAAACTCGCTGCCTCTCTGCAGTGGGTCAGCAAGAACCGACACATCTATCAGGAAAAAAAGGTGCAAAATGTCAGTGTGACTTTGGCTGGACTCACCCATCCAGCTGTGAGATTTGTGGTCACTCTGGGACAACAGCACTTTGAGCAGTTTTACCGAAGTGTTTGCAAATTTCCAGGCCTTCTTTGAAGTTTCTGCTGCTCAGTGATGTGGAGAAGCATTCCCAGACCCCTCTGATGGACTGTGGGGGAGCCCAGGTGCTGTGTGTGTCAGTGTGAGCACGGGCGAGCTGAAGAGCCCTGGTGTGATTTGTGTGCACAAGCACGGGCAGGTCTGAGACACAGGCATGGAGTGTCCCTAAATCCCCCTGTGGTGGGGTCAGGATGTGTGGAGGAGACAGGGCTAAGGTGGCTGGGTGAGTGTGCACCTGGCAGGGACCAGCCTTGGGCTTCCTCAAATGTACACAGCCAAGGTGAGGGGCTGCTGCTGGGGGAAAGCCACAGTCACCCACCTTCCTTCTTCATTCCTGCTCGGAAGCACTTCTTGAGCCTGCAGTACCGGCACTGGTTTCTTTTGTCTTTGTCTACCACACACTGCCTGTTAAACCTAGGAAGAAAGAGAGAAAGGGAGATGTAAGGAGCAGCAAGATTGAGCCTGAAGGCAGGGCAAGACAGAGCCCCAAGCTCCAAGATGTGCTCAGAGCAGGTTCCCAGAGGCTCACCCTGAGAAAGGAGCCCCACTCTGGGATTTTTCCACTCTAGCTTTAGCTTGTGGTTTCTTTTTTGCACTGAACATCTCAGCTCTCCCCTCTACCTCTGGATGTTCAATAAGGACAGCCCAGAACTGAGTCACAGGCAGGAGCTCAGGCTGCTGGTCTTACTCAGTAACCATTAGGGATAGGATGTCTGTAGTGGACTAACAAATCCCAGGGAAGTTAAAAGTGTGACCCAGGAGAGTCAGAACCAACTTGGAAGCTGCTACTGTAGATTCCAGTAGAATGGAAGTAAGAATGTCTTTATTCTGAATTTTAAAAAGAGGTGGAAGGTTGTAGTAAGGTTTGTGAGGTTAAGAAGTCAGTTTAAGTCCCTGCATCTCTCCAGGGCTGTGTCTGGGATTCTCAGAGGTTGTTTCTGACCTGTGGACAGCATTGCTGGTGTGCAAACTGCTCTGCTGCCACTTGCACTTCAGAGAGGACTTGGGAATCAACCAGCTCCTTCCCTCCAGGCTTGTGTCACCAAATCCTCTGCACATGGTGGGGAAAACACTGATCTCCCATGTGTGTGACTCACGAGCCTGGTGGCCACTTGCAGCATGAATTTCACTTGCAAATTTGCTCTAATTTACAGCAGATTGATCCAGCTTGCAGAGTAAAGATAAAGGAGTACAGAGTTGGAGAAGGGCTCCCAGCCACGCAGAATTCTGTAGCTTTTGAAAAGACTTCCTTCTACTGTGCTTTTTAAAACACCCAAGCTATGATTTGCCTAAATGGATACCCAAAAGCAGCTTTTAAAATATTCCTGTAGTACATATAAAAGCCTGAGCTTCCAAAGAACTGGCCACCTTGGCTTTTCTGATGGAATTGTGGGGAGGGGGTTCCCTGGGCAGCAGCCTTAAATAACTCTGGGGTGCAAATGATGATGTGCTTCACAGGCACTCATAAACCTGGGCCTTCCTTCTGTCACTTAGGTTTTAGAGTCATGTTGCTCTTTATGCTCCCCAAGTGCCTGTCAGGCCATCAGGAGTAACTGACTCAAAAAGCCCAAGGGATTTTAGACACTGCAAACTGAGGATTCCTCAGTTTCCTCTGTGACTCTCTCCAAGGCAGCAGCACACAGGTGACAGCTGCTGATGGCACAGGAGAGCCATGGCTGCCACCAACGGCACGAGGTGCAGAGCATGAGTTTCAGGAGCAGCACGAGTGCCTCATCCTCAGAAAAGTGCACCTTGTGCTGCCCCTCATGGGGCTCCTCGGGTGTTCTTGCACCATGTGGCAGGCACTGTGGCTGGATGGCAGGCACACATCCATCTCGTGATGGAGAAGGATTGCCCCCAGGGAGTGAGCAAGGTTTGTGCTGCATGCAGGGCACCGAGTGGTGAGGTGCTAAGTCCCTGAAATGGGGCTTCTCCCCTGGCTTCTTGCTGCTTGCTGGGTATGGTTGGCCATAGCCATTTGCAAGAACATGTGCTTGGCCCCTAAAGTGTGGAGCAAGACCTCTCAGGGTCTTTACCCAGCGATCAGTGGAGGGCAGTCCCAAAGTCAGGACAGTCACTGAGCCCTCCCTGCTGAGGGTTTAGGTCAGGGAACATGGAGGAGGATGCAGAGAAGCTGCAGAGGATGAAGGGCCATGCTGCTGCACCTTGAGGGCTTTGCCACTGAGCCGTGAGGGGCTGTTCTGTCTGAGCCATGGGTCTCTGTGCCCTCTGTCCTCACCTGCAGGAGTACATGTGGTTCTTCCGGACGCTCCTCCTGAAGAAGCCTTTGCAGCCATCGCAGCTGGAAGCCCCGTAGTGCTTCCCCGTGGCGCGGTCCCCGCAGATGGCACACAGCGTGCTCACCCCAATGCTGCTGGAAGTGTTGAGGCTGGCTGCTTCTGACGGAGACGTGTCTGCAAGGGGAAGGACACAGCAAGAAGAAGACAGTGAGACAGCCAGCCAACATTTACTAACTCAGCTACCAGCCAGAGACTCTTGGGGAAACCAGGCAGCTGCAGCCTGGCTGTGTGGCAGGGGCCAGGCAGAGAGGTGTGTGTAAGCTCTTGCTGCTTAAGTAATTGCATTTTGGGTGCACTAAAACTTCCTGTATTCCATGGTGAGAGCCCTCTTCCCAAAGGCCTGGCTGCAGCAATGCCTTCAGATAAAGTGGAAGCCCATTTGCAGGAGTGACAGAGCAGAGCCAAAATTCCTTGGGGATTTGCAGACACTTTGGGCTGCAGTAGTGTGGCCAGAGAAAAAGCTGATGCAGAGTTAAAGCTGAGGTATTACAGCTCAGGGTGAGCAGCTGATTTATTAGGGAGGTGTTTGTGTTACAGCACTGAAAGAGCCCAAGACAAGCCCTGAGCAGATGAGGTGAACAGTTCCCTTCTGCAGGCACGGAGCTCCAGCCTGCACAGCCCTTCTTTGGGAAAACAAGACTTTAGGTAAATAACAAACTCAAATGACTTCAGCTGGAAAACTCATGTGGGCAAAGGCTACCCATGCAAAGAAGGACGGATTAAAGAAAAAAGGGGGCACTCTGGCATGGAGGAGGCTGTAGGCTGGGTATCTTCCAGAGTCTGGTATGATCACAGTGAACACTGATTTGTCTTGCAGTCTCTACAGACCAAGGGGGAATGGGACTTGCAGGGCTTTTTTTTGGAGGATAGGGAATTGCAGCAGCCTCTGGAGGAAAGGACATCTGAAAGGCTAAAAACCCCTCCAGAAAGCCAAACAACCCTCAAGGCTGAAGGGATCAGCTCTTAATTCAGTTGATCTAATTGACCCCTCCCATGTACATTTTTCTGTGTCAGCACAGGCACATCCCCCTCTCTCAGTGGAAATACCAGTCACAAATCATACCCAGGATCTACAAAGCCACAGAAACCTCCTGAGATTTTTAATGCCTGAGCATATTGGCCCCTGATTTCTGGGGTTTAGCAGGGACTCAGTTAAGGCTCACCCTGGAATGGCCACAGCTGGTCTCACCTGGCACCCAGCAGAAGGGCTGCTCCCAGCTGGGCTCCCATGCTAGCCCAGCTGTGGGTGCTGGGGGGACCAAGGCAAGTCAGGCTGGGGCAGGGCTGCACTTTTAGCTTCTGTTTTGCAGAGAAAGGGGTATTTCAGCAGGTGCAACTGGCACAGAAGCAGCAGGGAGCGAATACATGGGTTCTTGAGCCTTCCCTAGCTCTGGCTGCATCTTTTATTTCCCTGCCTGCTTCCTGTCCTTCCAATTCCTCGTGTCCCTCCTGTATTTCTTTCTGAGTCAGTTTGCTGCCTCTCTGTGTCCCTGCCTGGCACACTCTGTCATGCAGCTACAGCAATACTCCTGTCTCCACTCCCAAAGCCCTGAGCCTTCCCAAGGCTGTCCTGGCTGTCTCTTGTCCCTGTCAGCAGCTTGCTTCTGAAAATATCCTTCCTCCATACATATCCCGAGGGCTCAGCTGTGTCACTCCAGAAGGAAAGTCAAATTCCCAGTTTCAGCTAAACACAGGTCTTAGATGTGAGAGGAAGAGCTGATCTGCCTGTAATCCCATTACTTGTATATCTGTGAGAGCCCAGATAAATCCCTTTTTAGCAATCTACCACTCTGTAATCAGATGAACACAGAACAGGAAAAACTGGCACTCTTATCGAAGAAATTGCAACATCTCAGTCTAATAGTCAACAACAATGAAATTATTGCCTAATGGATAATTTTCCAATTAAGTTTATTTTGCCAAATATGTGCCAAAAATGTGTGCTCTGGCTGCTGCAATCAAGTGGTTTGAGTTAAGGTAAATAGAGGAAAGAAAAAATCTGATTTTGAGACCTTGCAGCTGAGCCCTGTGTTAGGACAGAAGCTGCTCAAGAGGTCCCAGAGCCTGTCTAAGCACAGGATGCATTTTGCCTGTGAGAGGCAAACTTGGTCCCTGCTGAGCAGCCACCCTGGGGCTGGAGCTGCAGAGCTGTGCAGGGCAGTGGCTGGGCTCTGATGCAGTCCCTGGCCAGAACAAGAGGCAGAGGTTCTGCAGGTGGAGGTTCTGAAGGAGGTGTGTCCTCCAGGGCAGCTCCTGCAGTGCCAGAGCAGCCCTGGAGCTGGGCCCAGGAGGAGAGGAGTTGGTGCTGCCTGCCCCAGCTGACTCATCCACCCCTGGAGTGTCACAGCACACTGATCTTGTCACAGGAAATTATCCTGTCCCTCTGCCCCACGGAGCCCAGAGTGGGAAAATCAAAGCCCCTTGTGCAGATGCTTGCTGGGTGGGAGAGAGGCACAGAGAGGGAGCAAGGCCTGAGCTTGTCCCAGAGTGCCCAGATGGATATCAGCAGAGCCAAAGGGGGTGACTTGTGGCACCTAAATGGGTAGGACCAGCCCCAGGAGTGGAGAAGGGGCTGGGACCCAGAGTGGAGGAGGCTACTGCACAGCAGAGCCACTCTGGCACCACAGTGTGACATCCCTGACAGAGCAGAGCCACGACCCAGGGAAGATCCACACAGGCTGTGATGGAACAGTCCACACAGCCAGCACAGCCCTCCTGGGACAGAGCTGGCCAGCAGCCCCAGTGACACAGCACATGGGAGGAAAGGGCTCGGGGAGCCACATTCTGTGCCTTTGCTTAGTCATTAACCTCATATTTAGAGAGACTTTAGGGGGGGCTTGGAGAGGAATCTCCTGTTATCTCTGAGCATTTAATCACCAAGACTCTTTGGTCCCCAGATGGACGGGCCAGCATTGTGAATTCTGGAGGGTTAGGTGTGATGCTACCCTCCTGAAGGGATGGGAACATTTGTCTGTCCTCTCAAGGCCCCCTTGTCCCTCATATTGGGGGCTGAGCCAGAAAAGGGGATGCCACCCCTGCACCCCAGAGCTGCACTGGGGAAGGGCTGTGGCCTCAGAACAGCTGCAGCAGCAGTGCCTAAATCACTTCTGGTGGTGATTTTCACCCTTACCAGGTGCTAAATGCCTTTCTGCTCCAGGGACTGGCTTTCAGCTCTGGAGACACGGGCTCAGTTGTGTGAGTGGTGAACCACCAACAGCACTTCACACAGAAACTTTTGGCTGAGGTCTGAGACCCCCACCATGTTCAGCCCCAGCTCCATTCCCTGTGCTGAATGTCTGGAGGGGACCTCTCATTCCACCCAGCTCCTGGTGTGTGCCTGCTCCCAAGGGCTCTGGGCTGCAGGACACCATCCCTGTACCAAATACAGCTCTGTGTCCCCGCTCTGTTTTCCCCTGGGGAAGCAGAAATCCCCCTGGGAGCTCCCCATCTGACACCCCTTCCCTCTCCAGGAACGTTTTTGGTGCCACCCCAGGGACTTCTCCTCCTGCAGCCCCCAGCTCATCCCACCCAGCAGAGGGGAGAAGACAGAGGGGACTTACCATTGCCCATAGCCAGCACCTGCATGTTCTCAAACTCCAGGGTGGTGTATGCCGGGTCTAGCGCTGCGCTATAATCTGCCATCTCCATGTCTATGAGGGCTTTGGAAAGGCGCATTATCCTCGGCAAACACGGGCCAGATTGTTCCGATTCCCTTGTCCCAGGCTATTGGCCCTCCTGCCTTCCTCTGTCTTCACTGCGTCCCCTACCTGTTGTCTTTTAATTCAGATATTTCTCTGAAAGGATTTGCTGAGCCTCAAGGCCTATACTCCCAGAGGGGTGGAGGCAGGAGGCAGGGGGTTAATCTTTAATCATCTCACCCATTGCTGAATACTGCTAAGCTGGTTTCTTTTTTTTTTTCTTTTTTTTTTTTCTTTTTGGTGGAGCAGCAGTGATTCTTGTTGACTGTTTATTATTGGATCTCAATGCGTTTCTGATCTGGGCAGCACCACAGGAGCAGGCACTCACCGAGGGCTATTGACCTTGATGCTGAGCTGCTGGTGTTGCTCTTAATTGTACCTGGGGTGGAAAACTTGGAAAAAGCCCTAGCAGGAGAATAAGGTTCTTCTCCACTTCTGTCATTGCCTTCCTCTCCTCACCACTGGTTGACTACACCCCTGTTTTTCCCTTCTCTTCTCCCTCCATCCTTTCCAGTCCTTCTTTTCTCTCCCTCACGGTCAGAGAAGGTCAGCTCCTGCCTGGAAATTTACACGTTGCTATATAAAGTAAAACGTGTGACTCCTTTTACTTCCCTATAAACCAAGATTTACAGGGGGCTGGATGCTCTATAAACAGATCCCATCCTGCAGCCATGGCCAAACAGCGAGCAGGACTGGGGGGTGGCACAGACACCCTGGGAATCACCAGGGTGGCTCCTGTCCCACAGCTGAAATCACCCTGTGCCAGACACCCCCCAGCCTTGGGTTTTGGCTGATATGGCATAAAAGTTTAATGAGACAAGTTACAAGGGAGCAGCAGGAGTTTTCCTTCTGCGGGTGCACTGTCTGCTGCCAGCACCAACAGCGGTTCTGTGCCTCACCCAGACCTCGGGTCTGACCCCGCTGGGCCAGAGCTGCCTGAGCTCTCCTCCCCAGCTGCCCCATGGCACATCACTCCTCCACCTCAGCCAGAACTGAGACTTTCCAGTGCAATTGCGAGATCATTGAGTGGGAATTTAACCCATCTCTGAATGGCACCGGCTGCATGGCGCAAGAGAACCGGCAATTAATGATTTGGTATCAGTTCGCTCTGCAGTGAAAACAGCCCCGTGGTTTCGCAACCAGCAGCAACTGAGTCCACACGCTGCCGATCTGGGCTCCCAATGCCTTGTGTTTGCTCTTCCCAGGCACCCCAATGCAGCCCCAACCCCACTGGCACCACAAGCTGCCCTGGCCACGGTGCCATCACTGCCACGACACAAATCCAGTATCTGGCTCCACACCAGTACATGCCTTTGGGAAGTTAGGCTGGTCATGATTTTCTGTTCACATTTTAGGAGCACATGGAATTGTTCAAGCAGCTGTCTGCTCCCACAAAACTAGGACCTACATAACACTTCTGAGCAGCTTTCTACCCTGAGGCTACAGGTCTGCAGGAGTGAATCTGAGCACAGGAGAGAGCCTTTTGCTTTCCCATACTTGGGAGGTGAGAAATGATCCTTTGCTGCAGGGGAAACAGTTTCAGTCAGTGCTCCTGAGGGACAGGTACTCATGTGCTGGTGGCTCTTCCTTTAGGCAGATACAGTCCTTGCCAAAAACTGCTTTTATGATGTGCAGACTGGGATGGAGATGCAAGAGTACAGCATAGCCCCCTTGATAGCCTCGTCCCAGAGACCTCCATCCCAATCCCGGCCAGGCCATGGTGATCCCTTTGATTAGATAAATGCTACAGACACTAGGTCAAATATGTGCAGGATTTGCCCCAGCGTCTAGTAAAATATCGTAAAAGCAGGGCCTGTTCTGCTCTGCTCAGCAAAACAAACCTTTTTCTTCAATAGCCTGCTGAGCAAGGAGGCTGCAAAGGCCATTTACTTCCCAGGCAGGAAGGATTAAAAGGGCCAGGAATAGAAATCGGAGAGGCAGCGTGTGCGGGAGAGCGGCAGATAAGGAGCGGGGAGGTTTGGAGAGCATTAGGTGGCTCACGAGGCCGGGGCTGTCAATGGGACATGGTGTTTTCCACCCAGGGTTGTGTTGACTGTTGTGTTCTCACTGCCAGTGTCCTCTGTGGGTCACCAGTGCCCCCTCCCAAATCCCTCATGTTGGTGTGGAGGTCGAGGGCCAGACCAGCCAAGGACACCACGCACTTTGCCCTGGAGATGGGCTCCGCTGGAAACGCGTTGGCTGCTCCCTGGGCCCTGTTGCTGGAGATGATGTCTCCCCTGGTGTCTTCTGCCTGGGGAGTCCTCATCTCCCCCTGGCATCGTTGTGTGCTGAGTTTTGGGACAGCTTGCCAATGCACTCGTGGCTTGTACTGGCCAGCAGGACCCCACAGCTCTGTTTTGGGTGGGAGATGCTTGAATCAGCAGCTGCTTGTGGGGCTGTTTCAAACGCTTCTGGCTACAGATGTTTAGCCATTTTTATTCCACAGAGAGACAACTCATAGCAGACCCTCACTGATACGTGAAGGCTTTTCCCAGACTAGGTACTCCGGGGAAGTTCAGCTCCCAGCTCTGCTCCTCTCTCCTGTCCCCATTTTCTGTACGCTGCACCCACTGTTTCCTATGTCAGGACATGGTTGCAAAGGAGACCATGACAGCTCTGGGGCATGACCTGTTCTGTGCCAAGTGATTATTTAATTTTTATCTGTTCAGCAGTAAATCCTTTCCCACACTGGCACATCATGGCACTAATTCTTGCCTTATCTATATATCACCATCTGGCAAATTTATGCAAACCTAAAGGGGATTCCCTGAAAATAAGATCTGTGCTTTTCAATAGGTGAGGATCAGGAGCAGAGTATTTAATAGGGCATTTTTGGTAAGGATGCTGTCACCTGTGCTTGCTAGCTCTGCATGTCAAGCAGGTGAGCAGGCTCCTCACAAGGGGCTCGTCTCTGTTGCTTCTTGAACAGGCTGTTGTAGGATCAGAGGATAATTGATGTTGGAAGGGACCTCAGAGTCCCTGTTCCAGGCCCCTGCTGGAAGCAGGGCCAGCTGTGAGAGCAGCTTGGGTTCCTTGCAGCTTCATCTATTTGGGTCTTGAACAGCTCCAAGGATGGAGAGCAGCCTCAGCAGCCAGCTGGTGCTTGACTGTCCTCATGGTTAGACACTGGCTGAACCTCTCTCCAGGTTTTATGCCCCTTGATCTCCAGCCATGCACCCTGTGAGGAGCCTGGCCACACCTTTTTGCTGTTCTGTGTGTGTTATGCTCCTGCAGTTGCTGCTGGCCCAGCTCTCCCGCCTGATGCAGGACACAGCCCTGACCACCAGTGGATTGACCACTCGCCCCAGTCTGGGGTTGCCTGCAGAGTTTCTGAGCATTGACCATGACCAGGGGCCCTCCTGCCCTTTGCTTTTCTCCCTCACAGCTCTGCACTCTTAAGAAATGCCCGGCAGAAAAGGCAGTGCCCAGAGCCAGCAGGAGAATCACCCTCAGCTTTCATCGGCAGTGCCATCGCTGGCCCTGCAGCCCTGACTCCAGAGCTCTGCTCCCGTGTCACGCACACTTCCAAGGCCATTGTAGAGCTGGAATATTTCACATGGCTTTTTTTCCCCCACATGCACACGAAGCAGAGATGGGCTGAGGTGTGAAAGCTCTGCAGAGCAGCAAAGCCCTGAACAGGCCAGGGCCCTGCTCAGCCCATCGCCATTCACGAGCGAGCTGTGGGGAAGCAGGAAGCCCAGGTACGAGACAAAGAACAAAAGTCCCAGGGGAACGTCACCAGCGTAGTCATCTCCACACATGCAAAGGTCCCTTCTGACTTTTTTTTTTTTCCCCTTTGAAATTTCAAATTCCAGTTTGTGGACAAAGTCCTGCCTATCTGAGAATATAGATCTCCGACCACTGACCAAACTCCACTTCAAGCAGTCCCGAGGACTGCTCTTCCCCTTGCCCATGGACCTGTCTGCTCAGTCCCTGGATCTCCCAGGATCATGCCGAAAATTTTGCACTGGAACACAGCACTGGTACTTGCACAAAGTGGATTTGGCACTTAATGTCAGCAGCTTCCTTTCTGGGAAGAACCTCGGGAATAACCAGGTAGGAGCCTTATCAGCTGCAATTAATTTGGCCAGGCATTGCAGAGAGAAAATGAGAAGGAGAAACAAGGGCTTCCATTGTGCTTGTACCAGCAATTTTAGCTCATCATTTAAGTAAGGGAAGGGGAAAAAAAAAAAAGCAGCTTCAGAGGGGATGAAAAACAAGAGGAAACATAAGCTTGTGGAGGCAGAGCCACTCTTTATGGTTAACTGATAACTCCAATTTGCCTCTTCCCTCTCATCTTTTCTGATTCTCCCAATTAAGCTCAACTTATTCTCATGCTAATCATTTCTTGACCTGTTTATTCTGCATTAAAAAATTAACAGAGAGCAGTTTACTGCATGACTTGCTCACACAGAGCTGCTACAGATTAGCAGGCATGCTTTAAGCCCCTACACAGGACTTTTGGGTCTCGCAGCCAGTCTGCACAGCTCGAGGATGAGCTTTTTTTCCTGTTTTTAAAGAACAGCTTTTTCTAAAGTCAATATAAACCCCCCTCCTTTCATGCCTTGAGTATATTTGCTCGGTGACTATTTCCAAATGGGAAAGATAAAGCCAAGGGCTTGTGTTTTGTCAGACTTTTTGTAAACAGGGGTATTTAGGCCATACTGTCAAACACTCCTGCCTTCTGCCTTGGCGTGCCGTGACTCCAGAGCAGAGTTGTCAGAGTGTTAATAAGCAGCTCCAAGGAATTTGTTGGGGCTGGGGGCCTGCAGGTCAGCACAAGCCCCCAGCTCAGGGGGCAGATCTTTGCCTCTGCTCTTGGCAATCATATGACAGACACACAAATGAGGGTCTGCTCCCATGTCCCTCCCCAGAACTTCCCCAAAAGCTGTGAGAAGCCTCCAGGAAAACAGATGATTCAGCAGAGGCTGTTTAGGATCTGTTTGCCCCTTGCCAGCTGCACACTGCACATCCCTGCCCCAGCAAAACACTTTGTGGAGGTGAAAATGAGCCACCAGCTCCATCCAGGGAGGTGGAGTGGAAAGATCCAGCAATGAGAGGCAGGAGGAGACCACAGCCACGTGCCAGACCTTGCCTGGGGAAGATACAATCAATTTTATCATCCTGTTGAACAGCAATCACTCCTGGTGATTTACTTTCCCCAGGGCCTGTGGCTGGGGTTGGGGCAGATTTGCTGTTTGGAGCTGGGGGCACTGCCCAGGACAGACAATCCCTGAGCAGAGCCCAGACACACTGCCACTGCTGAGCTTGTGACATGTGCTGGCACCCCAGCACAGCTCAGGGGGACAGAGGCAGCTTCATTGCAACCTTAGGCTGTTTCTGACCAAAGTTATCAAAACCAACTAATTTTGTCCTGGTCCCCAGACCACAAAATCCCCATATGGAGAATCGAGGCAGCTTTTGGGTGTGGGGAAGAGTTACTTTAAAGACAGTATAAGACACTGCCTGAACTCCTCTCCAAAAGCAGCATGTGCATTTCAGCCTCAGCTGGGATGATGTTGGGCCTGGAGGCAATTATTGGAGCTAAAATAAATAGCTGCTCTGCAAAACTGGTAGGGAAAGAACTGCAAACATGGGTACAGACAGACCATTTCAGCAGATACTGCTCTGGTGATAACACTGTGCTTGCTTTTCATCCCAGGACTAGAAAGGGGTTTATTATTCTGCCTAACAAGGGCTCTGAACTCTTGAGGAAGTAATTATTATTTCTCCTGAGAGCTGTTATTATGCAAGGACAGTGAATTTGACTGTTCCCAGAAGGAAGGCCGTACTTGAAAATGCCAGGGCACTTGCAGATGTGTATTTGCCATCCCTGTGCCTGCACTGCAGCCCCTGAGAGCAGCATCTGCCTCAGGCCTGCAGTTTTGTAGCTGTGACTCTGGAAGCCTTCCTGCTCAGTCTTCTTGTAAAACCACACAATGAGCCCAGGGCCAAGAGAGGGAGGGGAATAGATTCATTTTCTTCCATTCCACCAGCTGCAGCTTGGCCCAAGCTACAGCTCCCACCACTGATCCCACCTGCCCCCTTAGAGCCCTACACCACAAGCACTGCACTCCATCCAAACCCCAACCCGGACACTTTCCTGCTAACACTGTTTGGGAGGAAGTCCAGAAAGGCTCTGACTTTGCCATGTGCTGTTCCAGGTTCACTGACTACACTGGCAAAAGCTCGGCTGAAATCCAGTGGTTTAAGCCCCATTTAAATGGGGGAGCAGGAGCCTCAGGGAAGCAGCAGCACTGGAAAGAGGGTTTGCTGTCAGCAGCAGACACCTATTGCTCTCCATGCCTGGCCAGCTCACACATTCAGTGTGGCAGGGATCTCAGCAGCCTGCTCTGGACCTGGGGGGAACTTGATTAGCAGATGGGTATGATTCCTTTGGGCCTGAAGGAATCCTGAAGCTTCCAAGGAAAAGGATCCCTCCTGAGCTCACAGTCTGGCAGACAAGTGAGTCTCTCCCTTCAGCCCTGCCAGCTGTTTGCAGGGCTTTTACGTTTCATTGACATTTATACATTCATTATACACACATGAAACAGCCCCTGAATCGTTTAAGCTGTGGAGCAATAGGTGAAGGAGGAGAACAGCCAAAATCAACAGAGGTTAAACAACAAGTTTTAGCTTTTTTTTTTTTTTTAAAAAAAAAATCTTTTTGAAAAGCTGAGTGCATCGGGAAGCCACATCTGGAAGTGACCTCCAGTGGCTGCTGGGGCTCTCAGGATCAGCTCTCCCTCGAAATTAAGGCAAAAGACTGAATGCTGCTGAGGGGTGGAGGGAGAGCTGCAACAGGGCAGGGGTGTCAGGGGACAGTCTGAGCCCATGGCCCTGGAGGAGGGCAAGTCAAGGGCACCTCAAGAGCAAAAAGCATCTTCCTGGGCCCAACAGCTCCAGCTGCCCTCCTGCCCCAGGCTGGCTGGCAAAGTCAGCCCCAGCTGGGGAGCTGAACCTGGGGGAACAACCCAGGACAGGGCCATGTCTACCTGGTGGGAGGAAGCATGAGGAAGGAGGGAGGCTGCTGCAAGTGGGAGCACTGGCAGGTCTGAATCAGGAAAGGCAGGCTGGGCATGAAAAAAACCCCATAAAACACAAAGGGATGGTAAGTTAAAATTTGGGAGATTCTAGTTTCTGGAGACAGAAGGAGATAAGTTAATGCAAAATGCTTTTTCTCTGCAGGAGTGTGGGGAGTGCCTGAATAACCTGCTGTGTCCCCAAAGTCCTCAATCACTAGAGCACAGCAAGGGGTGAGTGAGAACCAGACAACACTCAGGAGCTCCAGGTCCACAGCAGCTGCACACCCACCACACACCCTCCTGTGTGACACAACCCTCCTGTCCACTGCCAGAGAAACAAAAACACAGCAGAAGGCAAGGCACAGGAACATGGAAGCCTTCTACATGAAAGGTTTGTTGCATGGATCCAGCAAAGGCAGGAGATCACACGTCCCTACAGTTCCAGAGAGCCATGGCCAGGACACTGCAGGGCCAAATACCTGGCTCCCAGCTAACAAACATGGGAAACTGCTAATCAGCCAGTGAGTATTCGACCTAGGTCTGCAACACTGGGTAACGCTATTGTTTGTCCCTTTACATTCCTGCAAGTCCCAGTGCCATTGGCCTCTTGTATCATAAAGAAATTAAAATGTATTATGACCATAAACTACATCATTTGAGGAAATGAACCACTTCTAATAAACATATCATGGGACACTGAAGCCATGAACTTTCCTAAATCAATTGCCAGCTGATAAAAGAGCGCAGATATTGCTGGGAGCAGCCCCCAGCATGTGACTCCCCACTGGCATGGGGAGCTCGTCCAGTGGGATGGTGGCTGGGGGTGCAGGCTACCCCAGGAGGCACAAACCCCACCACCAGCACAAGCCCTGCTTGGGAGGAATAGCTCAGGCAAGAGGAACAGCTCAGTTTTTGAGTCCTGGAGTGGAATGGAGGCTGTTGGGGTGTTTTGGGGATGAGGTTGCGTGAGGCATAGGGGTCCAGGGCTCAGGGAGCACCAAACATGTCCAAATTCCTCACGGTGCTGGTAGTGGTCTGCAGGAACTTGGACACATTTGGTGCATCCTAAGCCCACCCAGCCTCCTGGCCTCCACACCAAGGTCCCCGTGGATGCTGGGGTTGAGCGGCTGAGTACAGAGCTGGCTGGAGAGGGCCACAGAGGGGAACCCTGAAAACCTGTCTGGTAAGGACTCTGTGCAACCAGTAGAGTTTGCACTGGAAGTGTTTTTCTCTCAGTTGCTTCTAAGCTTTCATTATGAGGGCTGGGAAGTTGGGCTGCAGACCTGGCTCAGGAGCAGAGGCTGTGCTGCGAGTGGCAGGATCTGTCCCCAGGCCAGCTGAGGCTGCAGCCCAGGGCAGTAATTCCAGGCACTGGGAACTGGCCTGAGAATGACTGAATCATTTCCCAGACAGCACAGGCAATCACTGGGGTACCCACGGGATGCCAGCCTAACTCTACCACCTCTTCCCCCAGGAGTCACAGCACCCACCATGCTGCCCATGTTGGGGCATCTCTCTCTTGAGCCCCAGAACTAACCTGGAGCCATCGCCACCCACAAACCTGGTATGTTCATCCTTCACGAAGCAAAACAGAAACCAGAGACATGGGGGTCCCATCCGGTGGGGACCAGCAATACCAGCGGGAATGAGCATGTTCTGGCAGCTCCAAATCCACACTGGAGACCCTGTCAATGCCCTTCATTCACATAAACTCTGCAGCGCTGGTTATGCAGCTGCTTCTCTCCCTGCTGAAGTGCTGGGGGAGCAGGGGGGTACCTGGTGTTTCCTGGAACAGGTCGTATCTGCTGCCATTCATCTTCCAGGGGCGCTCAGCTGCGTGGGCAGAGCTAGGGATGTCTCGCCCCTGGATGGGGCTGTGCAGCCGGCGAGCCCCGCGCGGGCAGCGGGGCACGAGCCATGCCCAGGAGCTGCTTGTGCTGTAGAGGCAGGGACAGGCTAATCCCTTAATGCTGGTCACAATGAGATTTGATGGGGAGCAGGAGTTTGTGCCGCAGAGCCGCAGGTTTTAAAGGGTTCTGGCCACTGCCCGGAGGAAAATTCTAAGGTGGCTCTGGGTCTGTGCCCTGCTGCCAGTGCCCGCAGCAATGCCCGCTGCTTTCTGGGCCACCTTTCTGAGGTCACTCACCCTCCTCTGCGGCTGCCACTGCGTTTCTTTAGGGCAGGGAGTACCTGACCATCTGTGCAGCCCTGGAGGTTGATCCAGAAAATGTGCCTGGGTGTGTCTAACAGCAGGAGTGGGTCTGGCTCCTCTGGGAGAAGCTGACTGCTTTTGCTTTAAAGTGTTTCTATATAAATAACCAGAACACCGTGTCCTTGAGCAACAATCTTGTTTTCCCCTCCCAGCTAACATCACAACACAGGATGGCTCAGTGCAGAGGGGAGCAGGGACACTGCTGAACACCCAGAATTTTCTTTTTTGCAGGAAGTGTGTTCTGGCAAGTGTGGGCCTGTTTCTAATGGAGGAGGAAAATGGTGTGAGGGAATAGAGTGGCACTTCACTGGGGTTTCACAGGCACTGAGTGGATTGCTGAAAGGGAGGCCTGGGCATCTCTGAATTCAGCCTTGGGCTACATGGCTGTGACCCAACTAGAGCCAGGTCTTATCAGCCTCTGTGTCCAGAAGAACCAATTCAGCGACAGACCCACCTGAAACAACCATTTCCCTGCATTTTCCTTCCTCCTCAGATGACTCTTTTCCTGCCAAGCCCACCTGTGCTTTTGCTGTGCCAAGGAGAAGAGAGCTCATTCCCACCCTCCAGCCCAAGCACCACCTCAAAGGCACCAGTCTAATGGAGCAAAAGCATTCCCAAGCCATTCCTGTCTCCACAAGCTTCTGCTTCCACTTGGAATTCCCTGAGTTATATTTGAGTTAATTTGGAGTGCCCACAGTCAGCAACTTCCAGAATGCTGCTGGTGGGTCAGGAATGGGGAGTGACCAGCAGCTCTGTCCCTCAGCTCTGTGCCCAGGGAGGGGACCAGCAGCATCTGTCCCTCAGCTCTGTGCTGGCAACAGGGGCTGATGCCCAACATTCCCACGTGGAGCAGGGAGCAGCATCAAGGGCAGGGCTGGGACTGAACTGTGTGTAACCCCATGACACCTCCATGCACCCCTGTGTTGCCACACAGGTTTTAGTGGCTGTAACAGGGAAACACACCCAAGTCAACAGACATTTCTCCCAGACAATGGCAGTCTCCAGGCACACACCCATGGATGAGCCACAGGCAGCACTTGGCTCTGCTTCCACCACCTCGGTCCCACCACCTTGGTGGCAGCAGACTCCAGGCAGGGGAGTAGCCAGGGCTGTGGATCTGAAGCCCGGCTGTTTGTCCCTTGTCCCTCCTGCCTCCTTATTCCACTCTTCATTTTCTGTTGCCACCTTTGGCCTGCCAGCACTAAGCTCTGCATGAGCCCTCAGGCATCCATCAGAGCTTTGTTCATTCTTCCCTGCTGGGCCACTTCCACCTGAGCATGTCCCTGGCACAGGACCTGCCCGGGCTGCAGTGGCTGCAGGTGAGAGGCTGCTGAGCTGGATGGGGACCTGCAGCAGTTGTTACTTTACACCTTCTGCTGAGCCCCTGGTGCTGCCCTGTCCATTAACCTGACACCATGCCCAGCCTCACAGCCCATGGCAAGATTCCTTGGGTGGTGTTAGTGAATCCTCTTCCCAGGCTGAGCTGCTGCTTTTCACCAGGGTGGTGGGGTGGCTGCTGCCATCCCACCTGCTGGATGGGCTGCAGGCATTGTCCAGCTGGATGGAAGCCAGGGCAGGCTGGAATGCTGCAGAGGAGCAGCACCAGCCTCTTCTCATGGGGTATCAAGGCTTTGGGGACCCTGTGGCAAAATGATCAGCATCCCTTTGGAACAGAGGGGGAGAGAAGTGGCTGAGTGGGGCAGGAGGAGCTGGGCTCTGACTCCATGAAGGGCACTGGGCCATAAACCCAGCACGGTGGCTGTCGTTTTTGTGTCGGCAAACACGTTGAGTGGGCTCGACTATTGATTCTGACCGTATAAACCGGTGTTGTGGCACTTGTTCAGGTTTGTGCAGGTTTTACAGCTCTTGTTATGAGAAGTGCCCATGTATTTGGTTTTGCTCCTTCCTTCAGGTCTATGTGTTGACATTGGCTCTCCTAACCAGAGCGTTGGACCATGCCAAGAAGCCGAGTGTGTGTCTCTCCTTGTGTTTCCCACTTTACCAGGGGTTATCACCTTTCAAAGCTCACACACACCCATGGCTGGGACAGGTTTCTGGTGCAGAGGCAGGTGAAAGGTGTCTGCTGGTCCCCAGCACTGGCTGGTGGGTTTGGGTTCCCTGTGCTCAGTGACAGGAGAGGAACACCCACCCTGATAGATGGATGAGCAAAGCTGCAGGGTTTGCAGACTTGTTGGGATTTGTTGCAGACTGCCCTGGGAAGTCTGGAGTGGAATGAACAAGGTCTGAGGTCTGTAGGGCTGTGATGAAGATCAGGCTGTCAAACCAACTTGCGAGTGCAGAGAAGGAGAAGATGCTCCCAGAGCATCATCACAGAGGATTTGGGCTATGCCTGGTCACCTACAGTGGAGGCACACACTATCACACATTCCCTGCCTCCAATCCTCTTCCCAGCAGGAGCTGCCAGCAGCAGTTGTGCCCTCAGGGACACCTTGGTGCTGGAGGCTCAAGGGCTTGAGCTCACAGTGATGGTCCCCATCTGTCTCTCAGCACCAGAGCTCCATTACTGTGGGGATGCAGCTGGAATCCCTCTGGTGACTGCAGGATTTTGGGATAGGAAGTCTGGTCCAGCCTGGCAGAGCCAGGGTCTGTTTGCTCCTTGACTGCTGGTGCATTTTCACAGCCACTTGCTCTGCATGAGCTGCTCCTCCCACCCCTTTGGTGCAGCATCCTGAGCCTACCTTTATTTTTTGAGACATGTATTTCCTGAAGGGATTTGCTGAGTAATCTCTCTTGATGCCCAGGCTGAAGCTTGGACAGGAGCCATTCCTGGGAGTAATTGCTTTTGGAACCCAGCTTTGCTCAGAGGCCCCGGTGCCTCTGCCCAGGACAGGAGGGCAGACCCCTCAGCCCCGGGTTCACCATACAACCCCTACCTTCAAACTCGCCTTCCGTGAAAATTCTGCAACATTTGCCATTTCCACATACATTTCTGCCAGGAACCTTGTTTGCTTGAATATTTGAGGAAAGCAAACAGAGAAGGAGCCTGAACACAAACAGTCATGGATGTTTTTTTGCAGTCTTTGCCCTGTTCTAACCCCAAGCCTGCCGGCAGGCATCCCCTGATGTACCCCTTGGCTCTGCCCTGTGTGCTGCCCTGTCCCCCACTGCTGGCCCTGGTCCTGCTGCAAATACTGCTGTATGTAAAAGAAACTCACCCAGCCCTTGCTGTCTGTGGGACCACCATCACTCACACCCCTTTGCACTCATGCTAAGTAAACATTGTTTAATGCCATTTAAGAAATGTCAGCAGATGACTAACAGAGTACGACTGGCAGACCTACACCTGCCCTGCTGAGCTCAGAACATCTCTCAGACACTCCTCAAGCCTTCCTGAGCCTCTTGCTGCTCACCTTCCAGAGCTGGAGCTCATTTCCTGCTGACAGCAGCCCTCTGGGCTCACTCTCCCTATAAAAATACCATTGTGTTTCAAGCTAAGCCCAAGTTGAGGGTGTGTTGCTGGCCCCATAAATGGCTGGAATGAGGTGGGAGAAGTCACAGCCCTGTGGGTAAGTGCAGACACCCTGTGACACTGAGCAGCATGCCCAGCTCTTCCCCAAGGGAACCTTCACCAAGCACCAGAAAACAGCTCTTGGGAGCAGACCAAGGTGCTAACACAGTGATTGTCCCTTTTGCATCCCAGCAAATACCTGTGTTTATTCCTGGCTGCACCAATACTCTGCTCAGGCACTGGAACATGCTGACCTTGCCAGCACCAGTGTTACATCCACCCCAACATCCAGCAGGGATGGCCAGAGTGGGAACAAGGAGGGGGGATGTGCCAGGTGTCCTAAGACCCATCGGTCCCTGCTGGCTGCTAGGCCATGGACACAGAGAACAAGGAGTAAACAGAGGAGTTAAAGAGCAGCTGACATGAGCAGTCAAGGAGGAAAAGTTCAGTTGAGGTCATTTCTAGAGGAAACCTGTAAAAAACTTGATGTATTTGGCAGTGAAAATTAAAAATACTCAGGAAATCGGCCCCCTCTTCTGTTTCTCAGTTGAAACTATTCCCCACATCTGACCAGAGCTCCTGAGCAGCAATGACGTCTCACATTTTTCAGCTGTTTTCCAAAGCTGCTTTACTGTTCAGGGCCAGCCCTGATCATGCACTGGTCTCTGCTGTAACCACCAGCCCTGGGGATCCCCAGCTCTGAGAAGATCCAAAATATGAAGGAGTGGTGCTGCCTGCACTGGGATTGAGACCAATTGCCCAAATTGTGCCCAAGTATCAGTGGGAGGACAAAGGTGGGTCAAGGAGCCCATCCCTTCCTCTCTGCCCAGGAGATGTTCCCCTTGCCCCCTCTCCATCCTCCACCTTCTCACACACCTATTTGCAACTTCCTGCAGGGATTTAGCACCAGTGGAGCCCTTTCCAGCTCACAGCCTGTCCTCAGGTGCTGGTGAGGATTTTGAATGTGCCTCTAGCTCCACATCTCTCCAAAGCTGCAGCATCAGTCCCTTGTCCCTCAAGGACCCACCCAAGCTGCTGGGAACAGGCCAGCTTTGTCACTGCCTGGCAGGGCACCCTCCAAGTCCTTTACACAAGGCACAGGTCCAATGGGAGGGAGATAAGTGCCCCTAGGGTGTCATTTAGGGGAAATGCTGGTGATAGTCTGGGCCAGGGATGGATGGGGAGGGTTGCAGTAACTGCAGTGGGGGGATGCTCCTACAGAGGCCACCACTGCCAGGAGAGGGCCAGACCTGCTCGCTGTCCCAAGGCTGAATGCCAGTGCCAAGCTTCCCCAAGAGAATATATCCCTGGCTTCAGATGGATGCTGAAATCCTGAAGCTCCTAAGACAGATGGGGAGAAGGGAAAATCAGAAAAATCTTTCCATCTTCCAAAAGAAACTGAAAATAACTCTGTGACCCTCTCCAAGGCTGAAGGCTCCTCTGGAGGACCCTGGTGTGCTCCCATCAGGCATGCCAGCTCCATGGCCTGTCCTGCTGAGGGCTGGGAGCTGCTGGCTGCAAGGACATCACTATGGGCATGGCTGGGGCTCAGCACCACCACTGCTGTGTGAGCTCCCACGCTGCTTTCAAAGGGAATAAACTTCCCCCTTGGGAAGGGTTTGGCCACCACCTTGCCATCTGCAGGATGGTGCATCCTGGCTGCTGTGCCCCCTCTGCTGCCCAGCCCCAACCCAGCCCTACAGAGCTGCTGGGGAAGCCAGGCACTGCCCAGTCCCACATCCCACCAACCCTTCCTCACTTCTATTTGGATAACTTTTTCACCCAATTTATTTATGAGGACTCCCCTCCTTCTGCCAACACTCTGAGTTTCCTCTCACTTTAGTCTGGGAGGCCCATCTCACTTTTTTATTCTTATTATTTCTCTCTCCCCCTTGCCTGGCCCCAGGCTTGCAGTGGGTGCCGGCCAGAGCCTGCTTTTGTTCAGCCACAGGAGCAGATGGGGAGAGCAGCCACAGGTGGGATGGGCAGTGATTCCTCCCCATCCACCCCACAGCACCTGGCTCTGCCTGCACTTGCCCAGGCTCAGCACGTGCCTCACTTACTGACTCTCAGACTGAAAAGTTAAAACCAACTTTAAAAATCATAATTAATAAAAATAATTTAAAAAAATTCAGGAGAAAATTACTGTCAGAAAAGTTTACTTGCCTGTGTTTAATGTCACTGATGTGCCAGGTCCAGCAAGTGGCTGCTCACATTACAGCCAGCTGCAAGTGGGCAGAATAACTTCATCCTAAGTGATTAAAGAGCTTGTTCAGCTCCTCATGTGTCAGGCAAAGCTGGTTGCTCACTGCAGAAATGAAGTTGGCTTTGCACCCTGGGACAAAGCTGGATGCAGGCAGCCTGGATGTGGGCACAGCCAGACCTGGTCGCCCTGCACCACCCGGTCTCCCAGGCTGATGGGAACATCCCTTGACCCTCCCCTTCTCCTGCAAATGAGGTGTAAGTCAGTCTGTGAGCTGGCTGGGTCAGGAGCTGTCTCCCAGCAGCAGCAGGGGCTTCATCCAGGAGGATGCTCAGCACTGGCTCCTCCTGGGCCAGTTCTGACCCCAGCATCTGACCCTCTGCACATCTCAGAGGCATCAGTCCTTCGTTTCACCAGCTCACACTTGTCCTTCACCACGGGCCCCTTGCACTTTGTCCAAGCAGCACCAGCTGGACACAAAGACAGCCTGCACTAAACAGACCAAAACCTGGACAGTGTTTTCTGGGCATTTTCCTGCTGCTGGCTCCTGCAGCTCAGAGACAGGAGTGAACAGAGCTCCTCCAGAGACCTGGCTCCTGCGGGCTGGGGATGCACAAATGAGCAACTTGATAAAAGCAGCCTAAAACAGCATTCCATAACTGCTTGATCACAACTGCCTGCTCCAGCCCAGGCCAGTGACACTGCAGCAGATCCTATACAGTTCCTACACATTTCCATTGCCCTAGGCCATGGACCCACTGAAATGCTGATATGCCCTGTGCCTGCCATGGCTCACCATGGGGTGATGTGACCTGAAATGAACTGCTGGGTACTAAAGTGCTGGGGGCTGGGGCAAGGAGGCACAAGGCAGCATGCCACGACAGAGGTGGGCTGGGGCTGGAGGTGATACCTGTGGGAGGCTGCAGGCCTGGATCAAGGGAAGCAACCACCCAAAGAGAGGCCATGAGCAAAGTGCAAAAAGGTGTCCTGGGAGTCCCAGAAGCCCTCCTGGGTCCTGGGTTTGCACACACCGTATCTGGGAGGTGGGCTGGGCAGGGGCTGCACACTTGTAAAAGAGAAGAGGAGCAGGACATGAAAAATAGAGTGAGGAAAGGAAGGTGGTATGATGGAGAGCCTCATGAGGTGTGATGGAAAGCCAGGGGAAACGATGGAGAGCCCTGGAGAGCCATGAGGAACTGATGGAGAGCCACAAGGAAGTGCTGGAGAGCCATGAGGATGTGATGGAGAGCCTCATAACTGTGAGACCTCAACTGCTGGGACCTCACTGCACAGCCTGGCCATGCCCAGGGAACCAGGATTCCCAGAACACACAGGACCAAACCTGCTGCGTGGGGATGCTGGCACAGTTGCCCCATCCTGAGGATAACGATGTCAGCCCGGGCAGGGGCACCTGTCCCCCGGGGCCCAGGTGCATTTGTTGGCTGTTGGCATCTGGCACAACCAAGGAGCACAACACGGGGCTGCTCCAGGCTGGTGCCCGCTGTGCCACACCGGGAGCACGGACACGGGCCTGGCAGGCATCTCGCTGTGGCCAGGTGCCCAGGCAGCATTGTGCCACCTGGTGCTGAGCCCCACAGAGGCTGGAGGCTGCTGCTTGTCCAGGCACTACACTCCCTGCCGGGAAGCCAGCCCAGCCGTAACACCGGCCCTCGGCAGGAGCGCGGCGCTGGCACAGCCCGCTGTGCCCACTCACGCAGCCCGGGCATGCCACGAGCCACCTGCAGCCTGTGCATCGAGGCTGGCTGTGTGTCCTAGGGCAGCACTTCACCTCCTCTAATCTGCTGCCACTTGTGCTGCGAGCCCGGCAGCAGCAGCCCCTCTGCCAGCACGTGGGGCCACGCTGCTCCCTCGGGCACGTGCCTTCCTCTTTGGGTCAAGCAGAGTGAAAGAGAGAAAAATACACACGGAGGATTTACATATCAAAATCAACCAGAACCCTTCTGCTGCCTCCATCTCCAGCCTTTGCAGATGCCTAGGCAGCGGGGAGCGCGGCGGG